TGGACACTACGTCTCCTAGGCCACTCTTCTGCTTAGCTAACCCCTGACATCATCCTGAATTTTGTCCCCTATTCCCCAACTGCACGCCAGCTCCTGTTTCCTGCCTTCCTGAATCCTTAGAGGTCTTAGGAACCTTTTGATATTCAGCTCACCTGACTGCAAACAAAACTTGCTGACTGATGCCTTTGCTGGCTGTAGTGTGTGTCCTGATGTGTGGGAGTCCAGTGGGTGCTTTTGCGGGAACTGGAGAAGTCACAGAATAAACTCAATCCCTTCATTCTGCCTCATTGACAGAACTGCTGTATTCTTCAGGGTTTTGGTAGCCAACTCTTCAAGGCACCCTAGATTGGGAAGTCTCAACAAAGGAGTGAATCCAAACAGCTATTTGCAAGGCAGCTCCAAAACCCAAAGAGCCAACTTCTCTTTTTCCCCCAGAAGCGGAGGGTTTGCAAGCTGCATGAGTACAGACACTGAAGGCAAACTAAGCTGACCCCTGGTGGATGAGAGGCGGAGGTAGGCAGGACCGCGGGAGAGGCCTCCCTCTCTCACTGTTACTCGCCTGACCCACTCTCCCTGGCCCCATTCAGTGAAACTCTTTATAGGTGACTTGAAGCAATCATGCTACTGGTTTCTGGAAGTTGACTGTAATTTTTATTTCTATGATGACACTATCTGGGCTTAAATCGACAAGGATCTCATAGACTATTAGGTTCGGTCCTTTTGATGACTAATGAAGAAGAGCGGGGAAAATACTATAGTTTTTGGCTGATTGAAGAGGAGAGAAATCTGGTGCTTTTTAAAGGAAAAATAATCATTAAGATAATTAAAAATCATTAATCTACTGAGGCTCAGGCTCCAAAGCCTGTCACTGAGTTAATAATAGCTGGCGATTCTCTTCAGACATAGCTTTTGTGAGGTCATCCTTTCGAGACTAGTGGTGAAAAGTTTCATGGCCACAGAGCAACATTTGGCAATAAATTAGTTCAGCCTGTTTCCACATGGCCCCAAATCTTCATTTGTTCCACCAGGAAAAACAAACTTTCATTTGCTCGAAGCAGGGAAAAAATAAATGATTTTCCTTTTCACATTTTGACAATTTAATTTTTTGCATGCTCATATGTTAATCTTTAAAAATACCACTACACTACTCTTCTCCCTGCTTGGTTTCAGTCTCTGTAAAGAAAGAGAAAATTCCTTTTTTTTTTTCCACTTTTAACAGAAAGAGCTAAATTCTCTCAAGGCATTGGTAACCAAGGCCAAAAGCAAACACATATGACTTAGTCCATTACAGCACAGAGTTGGGACGAAGTCCACTCCCCAGACTCCCCAAACTACGAAGTGGGTGATTATGTCTTTGATAAAGACAATCCCCTAAGATTGTTTACTGGAGGAAAGGGGATAAAATAAGTGATTGAATCCTTTTTATTCCTCTAATACTAGATTCAAAAATGGATCACTTTGGACTGTGATGTAAAACAAATAAGGCTTAGTTAAAAAAACAGCCTAGGGCCCGGCGCGGTGGCGCAAGTGGTTAAAGGTCCTCACCTTGCACGCCCGGGGATCCCATATGGGCGCTGGTTCTAATCCCGGCAGCCCCGCTTCCCTTCCAGCTCCCTGCCTGTGGCCTGGGAAAGCAGTCGAGGACGGCCCAAAGCTTTGGGACCCTGCACCCGCGTGGGAGACCCGGAAGAGGCTCCTGGCTTCGGATCGGCATAGTATCGGCCCGTTGCGCTCACTTGGGGAGTGAATCATCGGACGGAAGATCTTCCTCTCTGTCTCTCCTCTCTGTATATCCGCCTTTCCAATGAAAAAATAATAAAAATAAATCTTTAAAAAAAAAAACAGCCTAATGAAAAAAACAAAGAAAGCACATTGGTTTAGGGAGTGGGTATGTATACCAGCAAAGAAAGTAGACCCCAGTTCAGACACCCATATCCCACTGCAAGTGCCTGGCTTCAAAGCCCCGCTCTGCTTCCCGATTCCAGTTTTCTGCTAGTGTATTCCTTCCACCCAGGAAGGGTGGATTCCTGCCATCCATCTTAAGATGAAGACATTGGGACTTAGTGGAAATTGGTGAAAATCACACAGCTCTCTGAACAGTTCATCATTTCACGAGCTGTCTAACCCTGGATGAATTATTTGACCTAAGTGTCCTATTTTCCTTTTGTGAGTAGGTTGTTTTATATATAAATAAAAGAATTCATATAAAACAAAGCATCATTTTTGGCCAGAGTAAATGTTTACTAAATGTTAGTTGTTATTAAAAATATGAAAAATTAATGAACAGTCTTCCAGAATTGACTAGAAGTAATATTTGTAAGTTTTTCCTGGGGATGTTTGTATTTTGCATTACTTATTATTTTGCATTTTTATTATTACTCCTTGGGGATCTCTCAGAAGTGAAGGCGATAATACAGATTATTACAATTATAATGCCAGAGTTTTACATTTCTCAGAGCAACTTTATATGAATTTTTCCATTTGATCTTTAAACAGTCTTACATATTTTTTAGCCAAGTGAGAAGTTATACTAGGTCAGCCACAGGGTGGGTAGCAGAAGCCAAAGCATGAAAGGGAGACAGCTGATTGCTTCTGATAATGTCTAGTTGACCTTGGGCTTTCTAAGTTCATGATGGAACCACCTGCACACATGAATATTTCTACTTCTTCCCTTCCCACAGTTAGGACTTTCAGTAACTTCATTTCTAAACGTGACAGGCAGCAGTTGCAGCATAGTATTAAGCAGAAAGTGGCCTGCTGGTACCAGTGCTATTAAGTCCTCTGTGGGCATGGCCTATATCTATAGAGGGTATGGCTGCCGTCTCTGGAGGACATCTGGCAGTGTCCAGAGCTGTTTCTGGTGGTCATATCTGCAGTGGAGGGTGCAGGAGGCAGCTAATGGGTATAGGCCAGAAGGGAGCTAAACATCCTATAAAGCATAATACAGTCTCCCACAGTGAAGAATGACCTGGGTCAACATGTTGGCAATGCTGAGGTTCAGATTCATGACATCATGATACATACTGTCTTCTACTTAAGAAAAAAAAACAACAAAAAACTGATAGGGGGCCTGGCACAATAACTCAAAGACTAAATCCTCACCTTGCACATGCTGGGATCTCATATGGGTGCTGATTCATATCCTGGCTCCTCCACTTCCCATCCAGCTTCCTGCTTGTGGCCTGGGAAAGCAGTAGAGGGCAGCCCAAAGCCTTGGGACCCTGTACCCATGTGGGAGACCTGGAAGAAGCTCTTGGCTCCTGGCTTTGGATCGGCTCAACTCCAGCTGTTGCAGCCACTTGGGGGAGTGAACCAGCAGATGGAAGTTCTTTCTCTCTGTCTCTCCTTCTCTCTGTAAAGCTGATGTGCTTTTCAATGAAATAAATCTTAAATAAAACAAAGTGAAACTGATTGGGGCTTCTGTTGTGGTGCGGTGGGTTAAGCCCGCATTCCATGTGGAAGTGCTTGTTTGAGTCCTGACTGTAGCTCTCTGGCAACGCACCTGGAAAGCCAGTGGAGGATGACGGCCCAACCATCAGCCACACGGGAGACCACAGTGGAGGTCCTGGTTTCAGCCTGGCCCAGCCCTGGCTGTTGTGGACATGTGGGGACTGAACTAGTGAATGAAAGATCTTCCTTCCTCTCTTTACTGCTCCTGCTCCATGCTACTTTGCCTTACAAATTAGTTCATAATTTAAAAATCTTTTATGTCTATATTTTATCATGGACTGTAAGTTATTTGGAAGTAGAGACTATCTTCATTAGCCCTTTATCATTAATATGCAAGATCATTAGCTAAGCCTCCATTCTAGCCACTTGTATTAACTCTTTAAATGCCTTTGATGATTTTAATCATGAACACATCATGAACTACAAAATGACAGATGACAGCTAGGAGGATGTGAAAATTTCTAGAAAGTATCTGATCACTGAAAAACCCCTATCACAGGATCTAATTTAACTTCAGGGCTTGGTCATTCTTCTTTCTGATTCCATACAACTTCCCTTGGATGATACCACAAACCACAAGCTACAGAAAAGGGTATGGAGAAAAATCCCACGTTGGAAAACATACAGTTCACATATGAATGTGTTTAGAAAAACATTCTAACCATGAAAAATCCAACAATGTTGTCTGAACATTGTAGCAGCAGGATCAAACCGGGGACGAAAAGACAAAGCGAAAATAGTTCCAAGCAGTGAGGCCAGAGGGAAACACGAGCAGGCAGAGCAAAGGCTCAACAAACGGACAGGAATGTCACAGGGAGAGCTCCAAGTCTGGACGAAAAATATGATCTCCCTGGAAAAGGGGAGGCTTGTTTTACGGAAAGTGCCTCAAGTATCCGTATTCATTATCATATGTCAGCAGCAATTGGAACAGGATTTTGTCAAGAAGTGAACAGGAATCTCCACAATTCTCACCCATGATATTTCCAGCAGGAACTAGAAGTGCCAAGGAACCCAGGCTGGCTTTGCTGTGTACCAGAGATCTCCCTCACAGCTGGGAGGCTCCTGTTTGCCACGGAAAGTGTATTTCCACATAACATTTACGAAGCGCAACATTCTCTTACTGTTGGAAAGAGCTAGATACAAATTAGGCAGTTAGTTGGGACATCCGAGTTTTGGGTGTATGTGGTTTTCACTTTTATGCAGTACAAATGTAATAACATAACAAATGTGTCCTTTGAAGTGGAGTGGCCTATGAGGTAACACAGATGTTTTTGTTGAATTTTATTACCTTCATAAAAATGTCATAACCTTAATAACAGTGACATTCTAAAATAATCATTTACTGTGGCCAGTGGCATGGGCAGTGGTTGTAGTGCAAATGGAAGTTTCTTGTGAGAAAACATGGCAGGCCCAGGCAGCCACATTCACCTCTCAATGATGTTTACACCTGTCATCCATTTCCAGTTTTTAAGGCACATTTTTTAAATGGATGGTATTATTTATTTCCTAGTCATGCAACGTTGTAATGACACAAATGAATCATTACTTACCTAGTAAGTCGGAAGCTCTCAAGTTCTCTTTCAGGAACACAACAGAAATGGCAGCACTACCTATAAAGGAAAATGGGCATGAGTAGTAGTTTTGAGACTATATATATATATATATATATATATATATATATTTCCATTAGGAAGAAATTAAGTTACTTGCATCTGATGTCTGGCTAACCGTGTTCTGAGCAGAGACATTCAGCAGCTATGGTTATCAAAACGCACACAACTTTGATCCAGTCCATAGTGGACTTAGCACAGTGACTGGGAGAGCCCCTGGGAGGGCATCACAGATGTGGATGGGATGACTAACTGGGCCAGTAGAAAGAGTAGAAAGGTTTGGGGAGGTGAGAAAGGAAAACAAGGGGAGTGGAAAAGGACAGGAAGAACTTCCCAGGTGCCCTGAACTCACCCGCCACAGTCATTATTCCCCTGCTGTAGTTCTCCGCTCTCGGAGAGGATAATCTAGGGGTCCTCCTAAGGGTGTCCTCTCTTTTTCACACCCCACATCCTACAGCTGCTGGTGTCAAACCTACAGCTCAAGGTGTCTCCTGCCCACACCCATTTCTTCATCGCCCTAGCTCAGGCCAGTTTCTCCTCTGCTGTGTCGCACAAAATAGCTGCTAGGTAACCATCATTTTTCTCTGCTACTTGCAGGCAGAGCCTGAAATCCCGGAGCCCAGATGCCTCCCACCCACCCCAACCCCGAGGGGTTTTCAGGTTCAGCTTCAGGGCCCCCTCCCTGTGACCAACTCTGGGCTCCTGTATGAGCTCTGGATTTCCCCAGGGCTGGACTGACCACTCCACCCTTACTCGGCGATGACTGCCGTGTGTGGCTTCTTCCTGATTCTTAAGATTTCTTTGCTTGTCTGCATCCCAAACACTACAGGTTCCTTTTATTCAGAAGTCTGTCTTCTGAGACATACCCAAGATTTCCATTGGCTAGCTAGGATCTCATGTGTATTAGCCATTCAGCACATGTGCTTTGAACGTGTGGAGCGTGTCTGTAGGTCACAGGCCTGCAGCTGTCCCCGGTGATGGTTTAGATCCTTTGTCCTCTCACCCCTGGAACTGAGCCCCAGCCTTGGGTCCCAGTTGAAGCTTTCTGTTGTTCTGTTTGATGGGGGAGGAGGATGGTCGTGGGAAAATTTAAAACTGGATTGTTTTTTTAAAAAATGCATAATCTGATTTGTAGTTTATATTTCTGTCAAAAAATGGAAGCTGGATTTTTTTCTACAGTAACAATACAGAAAATAAAGATGGTCACAACATGATAACATCTCCAGAGAAAGCTGCTGGTGTTTGATTTCTCTTGAGTTGAGTTCAAACCATAATATGACAATTTCGTAGTTTCCTCAGTGACTTCATTACAAAGAATGTACCAAATCATTAAGAATTCTGCATATGAAGGGGCTTCAGTTAAACTTGAATATGTCTATGTCTGGTATTGTGATACTTTACTGGAAACCAAATAACAGGGGCAGGCATCATGCAGCAATCATTAACAGGCTGTTTGGGATGTATGAGAGCTCCTGGGACAGCCTCCCAGCTCTGTTTAAGATCTGGCTTCCTGCTAACACACACCCTGGGAGGCAGCAGCTGATGGCTCAGGTACACAGAGGCCAGAGCTGGGTTCCTGGCTTCAGCTTGTACTGGCTTTGATTGGTGCAGATATTTGGGGGGAGTGAACCAACAAATGGAAGATAGCTCTCTCTCTCCTCCCTTCAAGTAAGAGAAATAATAAACACAACTTTAAAAATCCCCAATAAAATAACAAGTCCACTGGAAATCCCCTTTCCAGGTAAACTGAGCTCCTGCTCGTATTTTGCCTTTTTTTTCCCCTCCACTTAGCTCACTCCCATTCAAGTTGATGTTAGTCTTGGCAAACTTTTCCTGGGTAGGCTATTTATAGGAATGGAGGTTTCACACAGGATGAACAGTGTGAGAAATGTTCAAGGAGCATATGTTTAATTGAGTGCTTTAAAACACGCAGGCAAGATTTTCAGTAGATAAACTAATGAATGGACACATTGCTCATTAAAGTAACAACTGAGCTTCAGATTTAGACCAAAAGAATTCAGGGAAACAAATCTTATGTGTTAGAAAAGATATAAAGAAAGCAAAAGCCCTGTAAGCTATGCTCCCTCCCATCCCTGGTTTTTGTAATTAGGTAAGGAATGTTTTCAAGTGGACAGAGATAGATTAGCAATAAAAAATGAGCCAAGTGTCATCACACTAATACATCCCAAATGCAGCCCATTATAACAATCCTTGAGATGACTGTTTCACAGCAAATGATTCCAGTAAGAAGAGAGACGCTGCTTCCAAGGAATGAGGAAATTTAGAGTAGCAAGAGACAGACAGCTAATCGACTCCAGGTCCTACAACTTTGCAATTGGGAAACGGAAGTCCAGAGAGGTTGTTTGTCTATTTGTTCACTGACCCATTCCTCTAACAAACTTTATATCCCAGCGAGGCTGCAGCCAGCACCCATAGTCCTTACTCCAGGTCCATGGCGCTTTCTGGCACATCCCATTGTCTCCCTCAGAGGGAGAAAAGGCATCACTTCATTCCCTGGTTGCTAAACTACAATTTCACAAATAATTTAACTTTCAGAGAAATGGTCATTTCTGGTGACAACAACAACAAAAACCTCCTTGAAATATACTGCATGCATCAAGTTCTATCGATTGCTATTAAAACAATGATCAGAGTTTTATGAAACATAAATATGCTATTCTTCCTGAAAGCATTGGGATGGCTAATGCACTCCCACACTCACCCATTGCCTTTTTTTGTGTGTTTTAAGAAAACATGGACTTTTCTACAAAATTCTTAGGTAAGAGAATAAGATTTAGATTTATCTACTTAGTAAGTAAAGTGATAAAAAGGACACTCTACTAAGATACATGTAATTCGTTTATCTTGCAAAACTAGTAAAATGAAAATTGTGCTGAGCAAAGAGCTAGAGTCTGAGTGACAGTAACTTTTATGTGACTTTTAAATAATTTGTAAATTTTTAAAGTTAGAGAAAATAAATGCACCAAAGCTCTCCCAGACAGCTAAAGTAGGAGATCTGTTCAATGCAACTCTGCCGAGTGGTGCTAGCACAGTAACCGCTGCTGAGGAAGAGCTCAAGAAGAGGGAGGGAACTATTACATCTCGATTCCCACAGTAAAACTGACCCTCAAAATGTACAAAGATTTCAGTGTACAAAGAACTAAACAGAACTCATGTTGGCTTTTTTCCCCCCAAGTTGTGTTAATTATTTGTACTGGAAATACAGGATCATAGAGAGAGAGAGAATATCTTTCATTCTCTGATTCACTCCCCAAATGGTGGCAACAGTTGGAGCTAGGCTGATCTGAGGACAGGAGCAAGGAGCTTCTTCCAAGCCTCCAGAACTCATGTTTAAATTACACAGATTTGGAGCTGGAGTAGTGGCTCAATAAGGCTAACCCTCCACGTTATGGTGCCAGTATCCCATTTGGGAGCCAGTTCATGTCCCAGCTGCTCCACTTCTCATCTAACTCTCTGCTTATACCCTGGGAAAGCAGTGGAGGACAGCCCAAAGCCTTGGGACCCTGCACCCATGTGAGAGACCTGGAAGAGGCTCCTGGCTCCTGGCTTTGGATCAGCTCAGCTCTTATTATTGAGGCCACTTGGGGAGTGAACCAGTGGAGGGAAGCCCTTCTCCCTTTATCTCTCCTTCTCTCTCTGTAAAATCTGCCGTTCAAATAAAAATAAATACATCATTTAAAAAAATTGGACAGATTTGTACCTGATATGTGTAAGTGATAGTTACAACTGATTTCACTTCCCTGTTCACAGCCTGGTGGGCCTTTTTTTTGCATTCAGGCATGTTTTGGGTCATGAATGCTTGTCAACTGTGGGCCTTGGAAGACACAGAGAAAGCTCACTGGTCTCCATGCTTAATTTCTAAGGGCCTTTCCAGAAAGATGAACAGGAAAAGCAGGAGGAAGATGCATGCACTCCTAGGTGCTTAAGGGTCAGGCCAGCATTTGGATTTCTCAGGCAAAACTCACTGCCCATGGTTGTGACTGTTGCTCTTGATGAGTGGGAAACATTTATAAGATGTTTTGTTCCTTCTCCCCGCAACCCTGTCAACAACTGATGGTAAGTAATGCTATGGCAGTTGTCCAAAGAATTATCTTATCCTGGGGGCCAGACATGAAACTGGTGAAAGGGGGCCTCATGTGGGCTGAACTGCCACCAATTTGTTCTTGAATGTTTCATCAGCCTTTGGGCAAAGCTCAGCTGAGAAGGACCAGGCCAGTCCTTTTTTGAAGTAGAATTATGGACAGGAAGCAAGACAGGAAGACTCCTTTGCTTGTTGGTTATGCAGGATATCACTCCTCATTCCAGGTGATAAAGTAGGAGGTCTCACTGAAGAACCCTGGAGCTATGAGCTTGGCTGGGATGTTATGATGCCAGGCTGTCGGACTGCAGCACATGCCAATGGGCTATCTTCTGGGTTTTATTTCTTAAAGCAGTGGGATGAAGCAAATGTATATCATGGCTTTCAGTTATTCATTATGCTTGAACATACTCTAAAGAGCTTATCAGAAATAAGACCATGTTGATCAAGCTGTACCCTCAGTGTTTTACAAGGTGGCCTGGAGAATCCGAGAAGTAAGAAACAAGCCCTCTCTTTCTCAAGATGACCCTGGTCTGTGTATGCAGCTCTGACTGGAAGGACCAACCATTGATGCACCTATGCTTTCCTTATGAAGCAATGAGTCAGGTGTACCCACCACTAGGGCAAGAAACCCATGCCCTGTGGACCAGTGAGCGGTTCAGAACACCAGTCATGCACAAAGGAGAGTGGACAAGCATACAGCAAAAGGTACAACTCAGATGGTGACAAAGCAAAGGATGACAAAGCCAGGTATTATATTGCCCATACACGGCTTTAAGGCAAAGTTATGACAAGCAGGCAGTGAAATTGGTAACTCGTCACGTTGCTGGTATCACTGTTGACTGACGTGACCATTCCTGAAAATGATTTCACCAGAATCAGCAAGAGTGCCATCAAGCCA